TGTAACCTTCAAATTGGTCCTTACCATTTGAGATTATGTGTGATGCTTCTGACTTCACAATGGGTGCTGTTTTGGGGCAAAGGGTAGGTAAGCTACCATGTGTTATATACTATGTGAGTAAGACTTTCTCAGGTGCGCAATTGAACTATTCTACCATCGAGAAAGAATTACTTGCCGTAGTATATGCCCTTGATAAATTTCGGTCATATCTCTTAGGATCCAAGGTAATTGTGTTTTCCGATCATGCTGCTCTTAGGCATCTTTTAATGAAAAAGGAAACCAAACCTCGCTTGATAAGATAGATCATACTTCTTCAAGAATTTGACTTTGAAATCAAGGACAAAAAGGGCTCCGACAATGTCGTTGCCGATCATCTGTCTAGATTAATGGTTGAATCTTCTCCAAATCTTGAAATTCATGAATCATTTCTGGATGAACAACTCTTTCAAATCTCAAATGGGATGTTGCCTTGGTTCGCCGACATTGTTAACTATCTTGTAACCGGCAAACTTCCCATTACTTGGTTAAAACAAGAAAAGGACCGATTCTTTTCTAACATCTGGAAATACTATTGGGAAGATCCCATTCTGTTTCGTTATTGCCCGGATCAAATCATAAAGAGATGTGTGCCAAAAAGTGAAGTTCCAAGCATCCTTGTGTTTTATCACATACTTGCTTGTGGTGGGCATTTCAGTGGAAAAAAGACCGCTTTGAAGGTTCTTCAAAGTGGGCTCTTCTGGCCCACTATCCACCGAGATGCCTATAACTTTTGCAAGGTGTGTGTTCGGTGCCAAAAGTTAGGATCAATGTCAAAGAGAGACATGATGCCTTTAACTTTAGTCTTCGTAGTTGAAATCTTCGATGCATGGGGCATAGATTTTATGAGACCATTCCCAATGTCTTATGGCTTTCAATATATTCTCGTTGCCATTGATTATGTGTCAAAGTGGGTTGAAGCTTGTGCTACCTAAACGAATGACCACTCCGTGGTAATTGCATTCATCAAATCAAATATTTTTGCTCGTTTTGGTATGCCAAGGGCCATGATAAGTGATGGAGGAAAACATTTCTATAATCAATTCTTGAAGAAACTCTTTTTGAAATACTCCATCACACATAAAGTGGCCACTCCTTACCATCCCCAAATAAGTGGGCAAGTCGAGGTGTCAAATAGGGAAATCAAGCATATTCTTGAGAAAACTGTCAATCCGACCCGAAAAGATTGGTCAAGAAAATTGAATGATGCTTTGTGGGCTTATCGGACAGCTTAGAAGACTCCAATAGGCATGTTTCCCTATAGACTTGTTTATGGGAAGCCTTGTCATCTTCCGGTTGAGTTAGAACACAAAGCACTTTGGGCAATAAAAAAACTCAACTTTGATCTTGATAAGGCTGGACAGGACCGTTTGCTCCAACTCAATGAGCTAGAAGAATTGAGAAATGATGCCTATGATAGTTCAAAAATCTACAAGGCAAGAACAAAAATATTTCATGATAAACATATTATGAAAAAGTCATTTGAGGCCGGTCAAAAAGTTTGGTTATTCAACTCTAGGCTCAAATTCTTCCCTGGAAAGCTTCGAACCAAATGGGAAGGCCCTTATCAAATCATCACCGTCTCACCTCATGGGGCGATTGAACTTAAAAATCTAAAAGATGAAGGGACTTTCAAAGTTAATGGTCAAAGGCTTAAACCATACATTGATGGACAAGCTTTTTAAAGAAATGTGGAATCCGCTCTCTTGGTGGATCCCATTTACTTTGATGATTGAGGGCATCTCACGTCTTTCTAGCGACGTTAAACACTAGTTGTATCGAGTTTCTCCTTAGTTGTATGTTAATTTATATTTTATTTTATTTTTCTTTTCCTTTTTGTACATTTATGAATTTTTAAATTCAAAAAGAAAAATAAAAAATAAAAAAATGTTGTAATGGATAGTTACTATTTTGTGAATAATATTAAAAGGTTGGTAGCCTTGTGCTTCTATAAATTCGTGGGTGTTATTGCCTTTACATTCTTGCAACTATACTTGTGTGTGAGAGTGTTTTACTTGTTGTGTGTTCTAGGCAGCAAGTGTGAGTTGGCTAAGCTAAGTTAGAAATTCAGAGAAAAGTGTTTCATATTTCTGGCTTAGTGCCATCACAGGCCACTAGATTCGTGTTCAGAATTTACCCCTGTAACAATTGGTATCAGAGCCCAGAGTTGGGTTCATCATGGCCGGTGGTAATGCTGCAGAAGCTCTTAAAGATCGTGTAACTTGTTTAGAGGCCTTGGTGGGTGCTCCACAATCTGACGATGCTGCTGCCTTGACGGAGCAGATGGAATTGTTTGCAGTTGAGTTGCAGACAATACGATCAATGCTCGAAGAGTTTGTGGGGGAGACAAACTCAAAGATGCAGATTATGTTGGATGATGTGATGTCCATGACAGACCTCTTCAAAGATCATGTGAAGGATTTGGAGAGCGAGGTGGCTCTGTTGAAGAGGGCCATGCACAATCGGACTGTTGTGGGAGAGAAGTCATCATCTTCCAAAATCAAAATTCCAGAACTAAAGTCATTCGGGGGCAAGAGGAATGCCAAAGATCTGGAGAATTTCTTGTAGGATATGGAGCAATATTTTCGAGCAGCCCACATTCCAGATAATGACAAGGTAATTATTACCAATATGTATTTGTCTGGTGATGCTAAATTCTAGTGGCGAACTCGGGTGGAGGACGAGTTACGCCCAAAAATTACTATATTTGCAGAGCTGAGGAAAGAACTGAAGGAGTAGTTTCTTCCAGCAAATTCTGGCTGGGTGGCTCGGGAGTCATTGAAGAAACTCAAGCATACGGGTACAGTGCGTGAATATGTGAAAGAGTTCACATCTTTGATGCTGGATATCAAAGATATGTCCAAGGGGGACAAATTGTTTAATTTCATGGCAGGCTTGCAATCATGGGCATAAATCGAGTTAAGGAGGAGCGGTGTGATCAACCTCTCTTCTGCTATAGTTACAGTAGACAGCCTGGTGGACTTGCAGATTGAAAAGTCTGACTCTACTATCGCCAGCAAACTGAAAAAGAAGGGCAAGTTCGGTGACAAGCCCAAGAGGTATGGTGTTGCTGAGGAAGAGAAAGATAAAGCGAAGCCAGAGGCGACGTTCATCCAGCAGAGGCCAAAGCTGGACAGTGGTTGCTTCATTTGCAAGGGTCCACACAGGGCGAGGGACTGTCCTAAAAAGGAGAAGGTGAATGTTATGGTTGCTGAAGAAGCCAATGGAAGAGATTCAGACTCGGATGAGGGTAATATTAGGGTCAATCCTCTTGTCATGCAGTCATGATAGGTGCAGGTGGGCGCGTGGCTTCGGGGAAGGCTATGCAGAGATGCTCACGGAGTTATTGCCAAGGTTGGTAATGGTGAATTTCCTCTTTATTTGTTTTTCTAATTTGGGTTGCTGGTTGTGAGGACAAAATCCAAAAGTGTTTAGAATTCATGTCATGAATTGATGCAGAGGTTGGGGTTTATGGCATTATTTAAGTGCAGCAGTGGAGTTGTTGCAGTGTTAATATTCAACATTCGGGTTAGTCGGGGCCAACATGCTAAGTTGCAGGCAGAGACTTGTGACACTTTGTGATTGTTTCAATGAAGACGTTGAAATTCTTAAGTGGGGGAGGTTTGTTACGGGGTTGGGACCTTGACAAGCCCCCTGACAGCCATGGGATGCTGTCAGCGTGCACTGGGGGTGCCCAGTGGCATTTTCGTAAATATGGCAAAAAAGTGAAGCTTGGAGTTTTGGCCCGGGATCTTTATGGGAGGTACCTTGAGTCCATAGAAGATGGTTGGCGCAGACGGCACTCGATTTGGATGTCGTGCACTTTGAGACATTTATATGTGGGTGTAGATTTGTAGGCTTGGCACGGGCTACGTTCATAAGGTTGGCTCAGATGTTGCTTAAAGCATAGACCACACAAGTCATGGACGTGTGGCATAGTCAAGTCAGGGACATGGGTACAAGGCAGTGGGCATAGGCAAGGCTCAGCATGCAAGGTTGGCTCAGGGGACTCAGACATGGCTTACGGTTACAGAAGATGACTAAGTGGGCTCAAGTGGTTGGGGGAAATTACACTTCCCACTAAGTAGGCTCAGTTGGTTGGGGGAAGTTACTAGCACTTCCCACTCATGTGGGGAGTGGGGATGTGCTGAATAACTTCCCATCCATGTGGCACAGATTTGAGAGGACAACACACAGGCGGTTGGAGGTGGTTTCTTTCACTATGCTGAATGCAACTTCCTGTGGACACGTGGCATGAGCAGAACATGCCAACAAGCTAGTAGTTGGGCTTGTCAACTACATATGTAGTGTTGGCACACTTAGTGGGTGCCAACATGACCCTAGGTGGATGGGGGTGTCATCCACCACTTTAGTGGGCAGTTGTGGGCGGTTTTGAGAGTTTGCCTATATATTGCTAATGTGGGTTCTGTAGAGAGGGCAGATTGAGAGTGAGATACAGAGTTATGTTGTGAGAGACTCTTGTATGCTTCTGCAGGTTGAGGCCTTTCCTTGTACTATTTTGTGAATAATAGTAAAAGGTTGGAAGCCTTGTGCTTCTGTAAATTCGTGGGTGTGATTGCCTTTACATTCTTGCAACTATTCTTGTGTGTGAGAGTGTTTTACTTGTTGTGTGTTCTAGGCAGCAAGTGTGAGTTGGCTGAGCTAAGTTAGAAATTAAGAGAAAAGTGTTTCATATTTCTGGCTTAGTGCCATCACAGGCCACTAGATTCGTGTTTAGAATTTACCCCTGTGCCAATTAGTCAACTCACACTTGCTGCCTAGAACACCCAGCAAGTAAAACACTTTCACACTGTAAAGACAATAACACCCACGAATTTGCAGTTGAGTTGCAAACAATGCGATCAATGCTTGAAGAGTTTGTAGGGGAGACAAACTCGAATATGCAGATTATGACGGATGATGTGATGTCCATGACAGACCTGTTCAAAGAACATGTGAAAGATTTGTGACAATAGTGTAGGTTGGTGTTTTATTTTATTTCCATTTTATTATTATTATTATTATTTTTATATATATATTTCATTTTAGTTTTGCTTTAAAAAAAAAAAAAAAAAAAAAACCTAAACTAAACTGGGAGAGCAATCCCATTCTTTGCAGAGAGCAACAAAAAAAATTAGCCTAAGTGGATTGATCCCCCGTCCACGTGGATCGATTCCATTTTACTTGTATTTCCCCTTCTCATTACATAGTAAAAGGACAATTTTTTGTAAAAAAATATCGATCCCCCAGTAAAGGAGATCGAGCGCCAATCCATTCTCGCCCTACCTTCCATTCCCAAACACAGTTTTCTTCTCCTTCCTTACGAAACCCTTAACCCACCTCCAATCCCAATTTGTTGGTTCACTCCTCGCTGATCTCTTCTCCTCTTCCACAGTGTCGCGGCTGTGATTTCTGGCTCCATGGTTCTGAGTTCTTTTCTGCCGACAGGTTGAGGTTCGCCCTTTGCATCGCCTCTTTGGGTTTCGGTTGGGTGCGATTGGGGAAGTTGGGTTGCCGGTTTCTAGGTTGCCGAGTTTGAGGTTCGCCAAGTTTTATTGCGAGTTTGTGAATCGTCGTTCTCTCCGGCGATCGCTGCTGCATCGCCGGTTCCTTCCGGCGAGTTTCTGCATCGCCGGTTCCTTCCGGCGTGTTTGTGAATCGCCATGTTCTCCAGCGATTCTGGCTGGTTGGTCTCTGTCGCGTTGCTGGGTTGCGGGTCTCGCCGGTGATTTCAGCTGGGTTCTCTGTTGCGCTTTTGGGTCGCTTTTCTCCGGCGATTTTGACTTGTTCTTTCAGTGAGCTTGTGCAGCGATTTTGGCTAGATTCCTCTCTGATACCGGTTGGTTTCTTCAGCGATTTTTTTTTTTTATTGGTTTCTTCTCCAGCGAGCTTGTGGGTTGCCGTTATCCTTGCGGTTAATTGTTTCGGGTAAGTGCACCCGAATCCTTTGCGGTTAATTGCTTTGGTTAATTGACATTTATCATTTATCATCCATCATAGTGCTCCAAAGATGAGAGAATTTGATGAGAGAATTCAATACTCTTTATCATTTTTTTTGGACTATCTGGGTGCTATTGTTGTGATAATAATTTTCATGTTTGGATCATGTCAAATCCAATTTGCATCCCGAAACTCTTTCCCCTTCTTTGTTGTGTACTAAATCTAGAATTCTGCCTTTGTTTTAGGGCACTGAAATTGTGATATTGTTTCGCAATATAGATTGTTAGTCTTAAAAAAAAAAAAAAGTTGAATAGATGATTAAAAACAAAAAAAAATTCCATTGATGATTTAAACAAAAAAAGAGTTAAATTGATGATTACAAAATAAAAAAAGTAAAAAAATAAAAAATAAAATAAAATAAAAATTCCCAGTGGACGAATTGGTTGTTGAGTTGTGGTTGTCGTTGAACTTAGATTGTGTATGGGAAAGTGCTTGAGTTGGTTAATTTTTTTTTTCTTTTTTTTGCACTTGAATTGGTTATTAAAAAAAAAAAAAAGTTGCATTGATGTTTTAAAAAAAAAAAAAATTGAATTGATGAAAAAAAAAATAAAAAAATTCACAGTGGCCCAATTTGGTGATTGGAAAATTAGAGTTGGATGCTTCATTTGACATTGAATGTCTTGTTGGTTGATTTGCAGATTTTGGTTTGTCATTGGAGTAGGGTTATTGAATTTGGACTACTTCCCATATATTTCAATCTTTAAGAAATGACTCGTGTTCCTTCTTCCAAACGTTTCAAACCCTCTAAAGAGACTCCCAAAGCTGTGTGGCGCAACAAACGTCTGGATTTTGAGACTACCTTCGACATTGAAGGTACGTTTCGCCACAATGACACGACTGAATGGGCGGTGTTAGAATTTAAAAGGAGGCGTTTGTCCTGTCTTTTTAGACCAACTGCAGAGGTTGCATATCCCCGTATTGTGCGCCTGTTTTATCAGAATATGGAATGGATTAGTGATGCGCCGGACATATTAGCTACAACCATTGATGGTGTTCGAATTCACTTTGGTGTCTTAGACATAGCCCAGGCATTGGGGTGTCCACATTTGTGCCCCACTGACTTGCTAATAGAGAATGGGGAGCTACGTTTTGGCAAATTCTCAAAAAAACCTACTGTGCATTCTATTGTTAAGGATATGTGTGACGGGAAGTATGGTGACAAGAAGATGACGAATTGTGCCAGCAAGTCCTCACTACCTAAGGATATGTGGTTTTTCAATTAGGTTCTGAAGCAGAATGTTTTTCCAATAGGTCATAAGGTACAGCGAGTGCAAGAATTCTTAATAGCATTGTATGCTACCCACACTGGAGCATGGTTTTCTGTTCCAGCTTTCATCTTGAACCAAATGCATAAATATTGGAAGCATTTAGTGGCGAGTGGGGATCCAAATGCGAAAAAATGAAACCTTCCATTTCTATATATTATTACCCAGCTCCTTGTCCTTTGGTGCTTCGTGGTTGATAATGATGAGATCTCTGAGGCTCAGCGGTGACTTTTGGGCTAGCACAGTGGAACTTAAGCCTTTCTCATATGCCTAGGGCCAAGAAGGAAGGTGATGGCATGGCAGCAGGTGATAGAGAGGATGTGAATGCCTTAGTTGAGGACGTCGTTGGGAAGTCTGAGGAGCAAATTGCTGATGGTGCTAGTTATGAGATAGCACAGGCTGTGTCACCACATGCAGAGGAGTCTGCAGGGGTGACTAGGACAGAGTTCAATGCCATTGTGGGGCAGTTGAGGACCGAGTTGGCTGAATCTGAGGAGCAGCGTCGAGTCAAGCATGCTGAGCTTATACAGCAGCACACCACTACCCAGCGCATGCTACGAGATTTATATGAGATTGTTTCATCGAGTCTCCCACGCACTTCCACATTGCCGCCTGATGCATGATTTCTCTTGTCTATGTTAGGCTGTTTAGATTTTTTTATTTTGAGTGGATGGGATTTTATGTGGCTATAGCTAGATTTTTTGTGATTTAGAGCTGGCTATTTTGGAAACCTGTAATTCTGAGTTTTGATGATATATTTTGGTTTCATTCATCCATATATGATTGCTTTTGGCTTTTATTGCTCATATTCATATAAAAAAACAAAAACAAAAAAACAATACTAAATAAAAAAAATAATGAAAATAAATAAAAAATAATTAAAAAATAAAAATTGCAAAGTATCATTCCGTCTTGCTAGAGACGTTAAACTTAGCCAATTATTTATTTATTTGTAGGTTGTGTATATATGTTCTTTTTCTTTGTTTCTTTTACAATTATAAAAAAAAAAAAAAATAACCAAAAAAAAAAAAAAAAAAAAAAAACTAAACTAAAAAAATTAAAAATAAATTAAAAAAATTCAAAAATGTGTTATCGGTATGCCCTTATGACTAGTTATGAATGTTTTCAGATTTTATCAAGGGTTTCATCTCATATCTCTTTGCATTGTGTTATATATTATTTTGAACTGTATGAATTGCTTATCCCATGTGACATTTGATGTGAGTTTGCTAGTATGGTTATACAGCTAGATTTTTGCATCTAAGCTTGGGGGAGACATCTTTCCTACTGGATCAATGCCGGATTTCATAATCTTTGCCATCACGGTACTCTTTCCATTATTTTTCATTATTCTCATTGCACATTGAGGACAATGTACAGTTTATGTTTGGGCGTAACGTCATCATGATTCATTTTATTTAAGTTAAGCTTTAAATGCATGATGAGATTTGAGATGTGTTTAGTAATGATTTCGAACTTTTGAAGCATAGTGCCTTTGAAAAGCAAGTTGTTCGCGTCTAATATTTCTTGTATGCTCTAGGATGCCATTTAGGGGTAAATTTTTTATTTTTGATATCATATTTGCTCTTGTGGTACACATCATCTTGTTAGTTAAAAATGCTTTGAGAGTTTATTTTAGAATTCTACACTTGCACTTGCGTACACTAGCATTCAATTTGTGGGGTACATGCTTAGTTGATTATTGTTTTGGTTTATCCCAATTGAGCTAGTATGCTTTGAAAACTTTCATTCTTGATAAAATGACCTTGCAAAGAAAAGAAATAAAAGCACTCACCAAAGGTGAAGAAAAAAAAAAAAAAAAAAAAAAAAAAAAAAACTGCATTCTTTTAACATGTCAACTGATTAAAAAGGAAGACAAGGAAATAATGTAAGATACATGATTAGTTTGAGTTCGTAGCTTAGCCATTTCGAGTCATTACGCCCTTAGGAGTGTCTTTACACTTAACGCCCTAAGACCATCTGGTTTGGGAGTCATTGGCTCAACGCTTGTTACATGGGGTGATTAGAGAGCTTAAGGAACTTGGACATTGCACATGATCATACATAAAAAAAAAAAAAAAAAAAAAAATGGTGAATTGCACTACACTTAGTTTAATTATTGTTAAGAAGTTGATTCATGCTTGAAATTGATGGTTTACACTTTTCATTGCAGTTGTTAGTCACATTTGGATTACACATTATTTCCTCCCCAATTAGTTGAAAGTGAGTGAGTTAGGGAATGTGCTTAGTGGTGAATCCTACACCCTAAGTCTCTTTCCAATCTTTTAAACTCTACTCTTTATTTGCATCATTTAGTTTAAAATTAGTCTAATCACAAAACCAAACCTTTTTAGCAATCACATAAGTACTAAAGTAGAATTCAATTCTGAAAAACCTATAATTGTTTAGATCTCTTGGGACGATCCTTGCTCACTTTATACTCCATAGTATAAGTGTTTAGTGGTTTTATAAATTTTAAATATGGTGTTCACTTGACATTATTTCTAAACCTAAAGTGTTGTGCATTATTTTGTGCATACGCTCGGTCGCACCAATCCACACCCCTAAAGAAGAAAGTGCACAAATGGCATGCATTTCTAGGAAAGTAAAAATACACGTTTCTAAGAAATCATATATCATGAGTGCATGCAAAAGTGGAAGAAAAATCGAATACGAAAAGTGAGATTGTGCCAACAAAGTGACAAATGGGAAAAAGACAAAAGGTGAATAGTGTCCAAAAAGTAAAAATGTGGAAATGACTCGGTTCTTTAAAGGAAGTTGTCAATCCAAACGAAATAGTCTCAGAAACCATTTCCAAGCACTCGAGACAACACCTAGTGACAAGAAACATAACTCGGAAAAAAAATTAAATGAAGAAAATTTATCTGTAAAATTTAAGAAAAATGAAAGAAAGGAAAATGACCGGGTTATTACAAATTAAGTCTTGGCATATTGTTTAACATACTATAATTTGAGAGCATTTAGATGATTTTAAAAATCTAGAGGTTTTAATTTAAAGAATTAATTAAAATCTATTTAATGGCTCCATTAGCTTAATTAAGTTTTTAACTTAATATTTGTAATGACTAAGACTTGGTTAGTAGCATATATTAATTTGGGACCATTTGGAGTTGCTTTAGAATCTAGAGATTTAATTATCATGATTTAATTAAATTCTATTTTATTGTTCCAATGACCTAATTAAGTTTTTAAATTGATATATGTAATGATCAAGTTATGTTGTATAACATATATTAATTATGAATCATTTGATTGAGATTTGAAACCTAGAGAAATTAATTAGTTTACTTAATTAATTTCTGTTTCTATTGCATTAATGATTAAATCATGTGTTTGATATTGGTTGTATGTTTAAACTATAATTTTGGACTTGTAATGGATTTATGAGTTTATGTTTTCATTATTGAATTATATTGTTATAGCGTGTAACGAATCGCACGCTGAATATTTCTATATATGATGTTGTTATAGCGTATAACGAATCGCACTATGAAGATTCAACATTTGTCATCCTATAGTAGTTGTGGACTTAGAGTTTGTGTTGTGTGGTTCTAACCTACTTGTGCATGGAAGGTAGTTTCGTGCATTATTTAAATTGCGTATAAGTTGTGAACTTATTTATTGATTTTGGAGTCGCTTGGGACATTTGGCTCTAATACGGGAGGTATGAGGTCTCCCCATTTTATAGTGCCCACTAGGGTGGTATTCTTAGTAGGTTAGTGCCCGGAATAACCGTTAAGGTCTTGGTTTTACTCCGATATTTGATGTCCAAGTCTTTCACTATTTGATTTCGCATTCAATTTCAAGTTGGCAACCAATATTTAATTGTGACTTGTGATTTTAGTTATTGGTGATTTGATGTTGTTAAACACATTTATGCATTATGATATTAATGAATCATCGCAGTTTTAATGTTGTTAAGTACATTTAGGTATCGTGATTTTCAATGAATCATTGCAAATTTTGATGTTTTTAAGTACATTTATGCTATATTATTCAAATGTAACTTAGGAACGATCTTATAAATTCATTTGGAATATACACGTTAGGTGGCATGACCCACTTTAGTTATTTTCGCATATTAGATTTCAAGTTGATAAATTTGAGAATCTATATCTTGTTACCTTGTATAACGTGCTTCTATGTTATTTAAATTGTATGAATGATATGATTTGTGATAGAAATGTTTTAAGGTAGCTTTGGATGCTTCTTGGGTCTCACTTTGACATAGACGTTAGGTGGAATGAATCACAATGATTAAATTATGCAAACTTGTAAAACGTTAAGTCTTTGCATACGCATCTCGTACGAGTAGCTTTATGTTACTCACCCCAAAGCTACCGAGGACATTTTTTAGGTATAGAATTCAAGGTTGAGATTCTCATTATGCTTTGATGATTTGTGGACTTGAAGGTTCCCATTCTTGTAAAGGTTGGCTTGAAATGCCACTTGTAGCCTTATATGTCAAAATGTGTATATTTTATTTTAAACATGTAATATGTACATAAGTGCACTCTTCGTAATGTATTTGACATGTATGAGGTGAGGCCATAGGCCAATGATATCTAATTTGCATTCTATGCATTTTCAGTTTCAAGGTTTATTATGGAAATATTGAAAAATGTCAAGTCATTGCTTCATCATGTTTGCATCTGGTGTGGGAATTCCAATCTTATTCTTTCATAGGGTCTCATTAATCATGCATGAGGTGTGGCCAAAGGCCAAACACCATTTTGTTTTACGTTTTGCATTTTGGTTTCATTTATTGCATTTTAAGGCAATTTTATGAAAATTGAGGTTTGAGAGGTCATATTTTGCATTGGGGATATTTTGAGGCCATGGACCATTGGAGCGCATCTTAAATGTCTTTTTATGTTTGTGTGCATGTCTATATTTCACAAAACTCTTAAATTTTAGTTTTGGAACCTTCATGGGGGCGGTTTATAAGTTTTTATGAAAATTCATACATTGGAGCATGATATATGGATTCTTTTTGGTTTAGCATGTTTTAAATGCTTAATTGTGACCTTGGCATGTTTTAAAACTTGTTCCGGAACATATGGGATGCATGCATAACATTAGTTTTAGCCCACGCACCTTCCCCAGACATTGCAGCAGTAGCTTTTGCTGTTGTCTGTTGCGTCGGTCGGTTGACAAGAACCATCAGCTGGCTGACAAACCCTTGAGACCAATTCCAGTATGTTTATTGGTGAAAAAGTCATTTCAGTCGGCTGATGATTGAGCTTCAATCGGATGATAATTGAGTTTTGGCAAGTTGGTCCTTGGCTTCAGTCGACCGATCCTCCCTGGGGTTTTCCCTTTTTAGTTTTCCTTGGACAGTTTTGTTGCACCAACTTCAGAAGGTCATATCTCACTCATTTTTAATCCAAATTTGCTCATTCTTGAGTCTAACTTCAAGAGCTTGAAGTTAGATTTCCAATGGTACCAACCTTACACTAAAAATCCAACCGTAGTGAGAGTTATCCCAGTTTTAGTGAGATAGGGTCGTGGTATCTCTTAATCGAAGGATGCCTCCTTGTTCTATTTTTGTATCTTTTCTGTCCGGATTCTGAATCAAGTAATTCTTGAGTCTAACTTCATTCATTTTTCGTTGTCTTTCCAATGGTGTGCACGGTGGTACCCATTTAAGTTTGAAATGACTACTTTACCCTTAGTTTATTTTTTATCAGGTTTGAAATCCTTACTTCAGTACTTGACTCATTTAAGTTCCGTGGCTTCATGGGGAGTCACTTTGGTGCCTTAAGGATGACATACATCTCAAGAGGCCATTTTACTTCTTTCGCTTCGCATTTCGGATCCGTTATCGGGTCAACTTTCAGATCATCACTTGGGTTGCAAAACTTGGACCGTCACATAGTGCGCACTATAAAATTGGGAGAACTCGTACCTCCCATACTAAAGCTAAACTCTAGCCATGTCTTTGTAATAATGTCCCAAGTGACTCCAAAATAAATAAGTTCAAAACTTATACATGATTAAATAATGCACGAAACCACCTTTAATGCATAAGTAGGTTGAAACTACACAATCCATGCCTTAGAGTTTAAACTCTAAAATGGCATATATAACGTCAAATATGAAGTGTGCGATTTATTACACAAGACAATAATATATTCAATATTGAAAACATGTTCTTATGAATATAAATTTAACAACAATGTTATTCAATGCTTAAAACACCACCAAGTGAATACACAATAAGTCTAAATCCATGATTTATATATAGAAATAACTTCTAAAACGTAATAAAATCCATGGAACAATTAGATAGAATTTAATTAAA